GTCCAGCCACCACGGCGCCCTATACTCAATTTGGCCGAATTGAGTACAGAGAAGCGTCTTGACAGAGTGGCAGCTGGGTTCAGAATGATGCTCACATCGACGATTTCCGCGTCCTCCTCGAAATAACCAATGAGAGGAAGGCATACAGCGGCCTACCCCTCTCATCCAATCAGCGATGGTGTAGCATAGCCCCTAGGGCAGCTCCAAGATGGCCGACCAACATGGCGGCTCAAGATGTTTACTAAGATGGCGGCTGTTTCCATGACGACGACTCGAGCGGCTAGCGCGAGGGAGGCCCACAGCTCACCCCACGCCTGCGGCCTAGCTGTTCCTGCGCAAAGTGGAGTCTCGCCTCAAAGCCATACAATGAGATGATGCTATCAGCTCTAGCACTGTCCACAGACATGCCACCCCGGCCAGGGTAACATTTATGGACTGCTGATGACTGGGGCTCTCACATGAGCCCAAACACTAGATGTTTCGGTTGCTGGTTACCAAACTTAAGTCTGCCCACTTAACAAGTGTACTGGCTCCCACAGGCATAAGAGCACTATTGTAAGTGAGCTGGTGAACCATCTCCTCAGATAACCTCCCACCACAAGATAAAATTTCCCGGAGGAAAATTTCATCTAAATCACCAGCCACTTACACTTGTGCTCTCAAGTGCGCGGCGGCTGGGTGATGGTGGTGGTTCATCCATTTTCTGTTGACGTCGGTGGCTCGCGGGTCAAGATGTGACGTCACTGGGTCGTCCAGGGTGGTACTTCCTGACCGTAGTGCGGTCGTGCTCAGGTTCTGGGTCCAGGTTAAGCCGGCTCAACGCCTCGCAGCTTCCCTTCCTCAGTCCCTTCACACTCTCGCCCCACAGGTCTGTGTCATACTGGACACAATAGGTAGCACACTGGGATGGACTTACCAATGAAGTACAGACTACACACCTTCCCTACCCTACCGACACAATTCCGACAGTTAGCAGACTGTCTTGACTTCCAGGTGACAGGGTCTTTCTTCCTGTCTGTCTGTCACTCTCAGACCGGGTTGCTCTACCGACTGAGTTGACTGGGCTGAGGCCTCTTCAGCAGCTGTCAAACCTCGCCCCTCACTGAGCACTGGGTCACTGACCTGCTCGTTCTTCAATCTCTCAGCGACCGTTCGTTTGTCTGAACGATCTTCCAACAGCCTGAATGATTGGTCCAGAATATCCACTCCACTTGTGGGAACCACAGCTACCTTAGCCTCACCACTGGTAACATCAAGCAGACGTTTACTCTCCTGAGTGGTGTTAACCCTCACGGGTCTGGCTGGTTGACAGGTCGTGGCGGGATCACCTGATCTGGGCCACACCCGTCTCACTGGGCTCACCCCCGTTTTCTGTGAAATGAAAGAAGGAAAATTGCCTTTTTTTCCTTTTACCTCATGCACCTGATCTTTCGCCTGATAAGAGGCGACCATGACTTCCTCAGCTGGCGGCCGTGTGACATCGCCGTCAGCTGGTGAGACCCATCTGAGTCCCTCTGAATCAGTTCTCGTTTTCTGTGCAATAGGGAGAGGAGGATGGCTCCGGTTTCTTTTCACCTGCTGCCTCTCTTCTTCTGTCTGAGCGGCGGTGGTCTCTGCTCGACTGGCTGGCTGACGCTTGGTGTCAACGCCAGCGGGTTTAACCTTCCTCTCACCTGTTCCTGTTTCCTCTGGGTCATTTCCACAGGACAGACCCACCTGGTTCTCTATACCAGGAGTATTACCTATCAAAAGTCCATACACTGCCTTTCTACTTAGCGCAGCTTTGATCTTACCTTTGATATATGGGGTGTCTGCCCACACGGACACTTCTTCCATGTCCTTACCAGTGCCATCTGGGTACTGGACACGGAGGGTTCGACCTATTCTACTCTCAGGCTCAACCAAACTGCTCCTGACCATGTTAACTGTAGCACCCCGGTCTCGAAAGACACTCGTCCATTGCCCATTAACTCTTCCTCTAGTTAACTCGAGTGTGTGTCTTAGGGCATCACCTCCCACGGTACTCATGCCTGTAACTTGCACCTTGGTCATCTTCTTAGTCTTAAGCCTAGTGCTGCTCGGGCACTTAGCTGCTCGGTGACCTGCCATGTTGCATGTGAAGCACCTGGGCCCCTTAACCTTGGGTTTCTGTTGGTGTCCCTTAGACTTACTTTCTTTCGGTTTGGCTCCCTTACTTGGAGCTTGAGTAAACCTTTCAACCTTTGTCACACATCGATCTAGGTATGCATCCCTAGGATCGATCTTCTCCTCTCTTGGCAATAGAGGAGGTACCTCTACTTCCAGCGCCTGTACCTCTGAGCTTGGCGCGGCAGGAGGGGTTTGACTCCCCGTCCTTGCCTGGGGAGGACGCACTCTTGCAATTTCCAATCTAGTCAATCTCTCGTGGTGGGCATTCCACATGAAGGCCACGAACTTGGCCTTATTAACTCCTTGCAGTTTAAAACCATCAGCTTGAGCTGCTAGGTACTGTAAAGTCATTTCCTCCTGGGGTTGTTCAGTCCCCATCCTGACTGAATTGAAGGTGTCCTGTTTGCGAACTTCTACATGGGTACCATCGAACAAAAGGTCTTAGTCGACATGAACTTGAAACCGGCCATATACTGCAGGTATGTTGACGACATTTTTACACAGGTACCTGATGTCAGACATCTGCAGGAGCTGAAGGAGGCATTTGAGCGGAACTCTGTGTTGCGTTTCACTTACGAGATGGAGAAGGATGGGAAGCTGCCCTTTCTAGATGTAACAGTCATAGAAAGGAGCGGAGGTTTCCACACTGCAGTCTACACTAAGGAAACAAACATAGGAATGTGCCTCAATGCCAACAGTGACTGCCCAGACAGGTACAAGAGGAGTGTCGTTAACGCTTATGTCGACCGTGCTCTCAGCCACAGCTCAGGATGGAAGCAAGTCGATGAAGAACTCTGTAGGGTAAGGCAGGTCCTAGTCAACAACGGCTTCTCCAATGGTTTCGTTGAAGACATCATAAGAAGGAAGGTGAAACGCCATGCAACCTCTGAAGAGACAACTAACACAACACCTGTACCCCCTATTAGACTATTTTACAGGAACTTCTTTTCCACAGCTCATAAAATGGAGGAAAGGGTCCTGAAAGATATAGTTAATAGAAACGTTATCCCTACAAACAAAAATCAGAAGATACAATTGACGATCTACTATAAAACCAAGAAAACGGCCAACCTACTCATGAGAAACTCTCCAGACACAAAGCAGAATGCTTTAAAAGAGACCAATGTCGTCTATGCCTTCAAGTGCCCACTTGGGGACTGCAAGCCTCAAAGAATTCAGTATATAGGCAAGACAACAACATCTCTTTCCAGGCGATTAACGATGCATAAGCAACAGGGCTCCATTAAGGAACATATAATCTCTTCCCATAACCGGACCATCACCAGAGAAGTCTTAACAAAAAACACGGAAATCATCGATAGATACAGCGATAGCAGGCGGCTAGATATCTGCGAGGCACTACACATTAAGAAGTCGACACCAGCAATCAACAGCCAATTAATGCACAACTATATTCTACCCACTTCAAGACTCCGCACCAATATAGAAGCATCAAGAAATATGGGCCAATAGGCCCTCTGCAGTTACTTCCATTCTTCCCTTTAACTTACAAAATATTATACCCATTGTTTCGTGTTCTGTCTTGTGTTGAAAGTTTGTTTTCACCTCATCCAAAACTGTCGAAACATATCACCTCACCCAAATGCAGGTATAAAAAAAAAATCGAAGATGTTTAAGCTCTGTTCAGTTATAGTTGTGTGTGTGTAAACTAAAGTCTTTGAAAATGTATTAAGTTTTACGAAACGTGCTTAAGTGTTGCGTCAGACTAGAAATAAAAATGAATTTTGGAAAACTGATTTTTCAGTTACCATCAGCAGTGAAGAAAAATGTAAGAAACATTGAGAAAATTCGTGTTAGAATTATTAATCTTACTTTTTTGGTCATATTTATAATAATATATATATATATATATATATATATATATATATATATATATATATATATATATATATATATATATATATATATATATATATATATATATATATATATATATATATATTATGTGTGTGTGTCTAGTTGTGCTTGCACAACTCACCTAGTTGTGCAAGCACAACTAGGTCAACTAGGTGAGTACACACACACACAGCATGGAGTCCATATCTAGTCAAGCATAAGACTAAACTGGAAAAGGTTCAAAGGTTTGCCACCAGACTAGTACCCGAGCTGAGAGGTATGAGCTACGAGGAGAGACTACGGGAATTAAACCTCACTTCGCTGGAAGACAGAAGAGTTAGGGGGGACATGATCACCACATTCAAGATTCTCAAGGGAATTGATAGGGTAGATAAAGACAGGCTATTTTACACAATGGGCACACGCACAAGGGGACACAGGTGGAAACTGAGTGCCCAAATGAGCCACAGAGATATTAGAAAGAACATTTTTAGTGTCAGAGTGGTTGACAAATGGAATGCATTAGGCAGTGATGTGGTGGAGGCTGACTCCATACACAGTTTCAAGTGTAGATATGATAAAGCCCAATAGGCTCAGGAATCTGTACACCTCTTGATTGACGGTTGAGAGGCGGGACCAAAGAGTCAGAGCTCAACCCCTGCAAGCACAACTAGGTGAGTACACACACACACACAAACATTTTATTTTTTAACTAATAATTCATTAATTTCCCATTTATTTATTTACATGTGGGCTGTTTTTTCCACTTATTATACTAATCACTTTTGAAAAGAATTATCTGTTCTTCTCTGTTGATACTTGTATATTTATTTCTAGTCTGTTTAAAACATATATGTGGAGGCTGGTCAGGGCCGGATGGGCCAAGTAGGCCATGGCCTAAGGGCTCACCAGCACATTTTATTCTTATACATATATAAGCATAGGAATATGGCCTCACTGTATTCCTCTGCAAAACTAGAACTTGGGGGTCTTACCTCGTGTCCACGGTCGGCCAGAGCCTCAGCGAGAGACATGAAGACGTTCCTGTGGCTCTTGGAGGAGACGGGGAGGAGCATGAGGATCTTGTAGGACCTCTCAGGGGGCGCCAACTCCCCCGCGACGACCCCCGCCACAGCCGCCACCAACACACACAGCGGCGCCAACTTAATCTATGGACAAAGAATCGTAGTGTAAAAGAACAGCGTGAATAATCCAAATTCACAAATATATTTTTGGCGGGGTGCACGTTAGACAACAATCATCTCTTCAACTTTGATTCCAAAGTGCAAAATCTAATGTGTGTATTTAGCATGGGAATTGATCTAACCATTTTCTTCCTGGTTGGAAACGCGTGTGGTCAGGCAGGACTCTGGATGAGAAAGACTTACAGTTTCTGGACCACTAGACTTTAACCGCTTTAACTTTCAGACACACCCGCAGATATTCACAGTCACGAGCACCAATAAACAACTCTCCAAGGACACAAATAAGGCATGGACCTGAATTTCATTAGATTTATAACCAAATATATAAAATATATAGTTTACCCATCATTTAATAAGTTATTGAGTGTTTAAAGTCTGAAGTAAAAAGATTTACCAGGCTCTGGTAAATAATTCCAGAGAAGTAATTCCAGAGAAGGACGGTCCACAGATGAGCGAGATGTCAGTAGACTCCCCGTGCACACGAACTCTCCTGCTGACAAAACAATTGGGCTCACTCTCAGCTACCATGTGAAAATCAAGATTTGAGAGTTGTCCTCCAAGGTTACTTACCAGATTCACAGACAAAAAGCTAAACCAGTTTTATTAATGCCATCAATCTAGTTAAAATTGATATTGTACTCTGAAACAATATGTATAACAAATCAGTAAATGGTTTAAGTTGTTTAAATTTGGAAATGGTGTTATTTTGTTTATGAATGACAAACAAAGTAATACCAAGCAAAAAGAGCAAACGTGGGAAGAAACGGACTGCACAGTGAAATTCTTTAATACATTAAGACATCGCAGTCATATTCAGCTTATTCCGAAAATCTCGACTGTCTATGATTGACAGGAATGCTTCCCAGTCGCTGGCCATATTTCTGAGGCTGAAAAAATTTATTGTTTCTCAGTTACTTCAGAGTAGCAAAAGTCTCATTCGCCCTTAGGAACAGCACTGTTCTCTATGGCAGCTCGCTCTTCAAAAGTTCGTGATACGATCAGTTCACCAAACACAACATGTAATAACTTATGGCATGAACCTCCCGCTGCCACGCTACTCCACTCTCATACACTGTCACCTCTGCTGCCGGGACGGTGGGAGCTGGGCACCAGCCTTCATCACCGTCACGTACACACCTGCAGGGCGGCTGCTCCTCACCATTACTGTGCATCTTTCCCTATATCATATACTGAACAATATTTGCGATTTTCCGCCTCCAGCATGAGGAGCGTATTTCCTGATGCCTATGATCTCTTGTTGGAGATATGTCCGTAGTTGCTTTAAGCCTATATTTTTCCTTGGCCAAGGGTTTCACTTTTGACAGTGTAAGTAGCTAATGACCTATCGAAAATAATAATTAATAATAATTCATTGTGAAGGAGGACAGGCAGCCAGAGTGAATTTATATATATGTTAGGCTTATATCGAAGTCACCCCCCCCCCCCAGGGTAGAATTACTGACTTTTCCCCAGGATTCAACCCCAAAACAAGCTGATTAACTCCTGGGTACCTACTTACTGCTGGGTGAAGAGGTGCATTAGGTGATAGCAAATACGCCTAACCATTTCTGTCCCGTCAGGGATTCGAACCCGAAATCCTTGATTGTGAGTCGAGAACAAACCCTACTGTACTACTGGGACCCTCTTAAATAAATACGAGTCAACATAATATTGGGGACAATATTATATCTTGAAACTTGCCTCAATTAAATTTTATAAAAATCTCTATCCTAAGTAGGAGTCGGGCACGAGGCCCTGAGAGTGCTAGGCTAGTACAGTGACCACTTTCATAACCAGTCACACACAGAGATCACACTAACGTGATGCATCAAATGAACAAATCCACAAGGGCCGTACGAGGATCCTCGTCACGGCCCTTGTGGATTTGTTCATTTGATGCATCACGTTAGTGTGATCTCTGTGTGTGATGATATAAGGGCGAAGAGGGAGAACGGCCTATTGACAAAGCTCGGGTGCAGGGGGGGGGGGTTGTGTAAAAGCCCGGTTTGTGCCTCGGAGAGACTCCTACATCGTGTACCCGGTAACCCATTATTAGAATTGTTTAATGCCAGCTATGTCACTGTGCAGTTGCCTGTATCATGGACCACCAGTCTTACGGTACCTGTACCAAAGCCTGGCCAACCTGATGCTTTCCGTCCCATCTCACTGACCAGTTGCATGTGCAAAACCTTTGAGAGAATGGTGCTTAATAGATTATTGTATAGAGTTAAAGAGCACATGTCACCTGATATCAATGGTTTCGCACATGGTAAAAGTGTACACAACTGTATCACAACCTTTCTTACCGTTCATGGAGATAAAAGGCACAAGTACACAACATTTCTTGATTTAAAAAATGCCTTTGATATTGCTAATAGGGAAGTAATTATGTATGAATTAGCAAGAATGGATATAGGGGGACATTTATTACAATGGATACGGGGCTATCTTACCAACCGGAAGTCCTCTGCACTGTTCCAAGGCTACAAGAGTGCAACTAAAGTAATGCAACTAGGCACCCCACAAGGAGGAGTACTTAGTCCTACCTTGTTTAATGTTCTAATTAATGCTTTACTAAAATCAATCCCAACTAGTCCGGCAAACATCACTATCAGCTATGCAGATGACATCCTTGTGCATACTAAAACCCACCGCAAAATGCAAACAGTCTTAAATTGTATACATACAACTTGTGAGAGCCTTGGTCTTGTTGTAGGATATTTGGGCTTGACTCAATTTATTTAATTATTAAATTAATGAAAACAATTACGGAGGACCACCCACTTTTAAGAAAAGAGGGAAACTAATAAAAAGTGATCATTAGAAACACAAAGAACCAGTGTCTATGGATAAATATTATGAAGCATAATCACTTAAATAACTAATGGGCTGTATAGTTAATTATACAGCCCATTAATTATGGGCTGTTATAGACTGCGTGTTAGTTCATGTGAACATTACTGTTAGTAAGTTTTAGTAACTACAGTAATTAGTATATTTTAATACTAATTTATTATAATACAATAGTATTGTATTAGTGTTGGAAATTTCCAACATAACTCCGGGGGAAGATTTCTCGGGTCGCAGTGCAATGTTGAGGACTGACATACCTATCCCGAAGTTAGTATTAATGTTAATATGTTAGTATGTTAGTACACACATAACGGATGTCCCGTAATTGTCAAGGACATACAAGAAACTTAAGTTTTGCAAAGAAATTCATGTTGAATGGAACATGTTATTGTGAATCATCTAAAGTTACTGACTAATAAAGCCTACAATAAACTCTGGGACTGGTGTTGCTATGACATGTAATGTTTATGTTACTAAGTCTTAAAGTTTTGTAAACTCTCAGATACTCTAGACGAAATAATGTTATTATTAATAGCCTATACAACAAATTAAGAATTAATTCATACGATTTAAAGTAACTGATTTGTTACTTGACATCACAACACAGTATCATCATGATTACTCAAATTGGATAGGAAATTATTTGCTCTTAGTTAGAGCTATAATAGGCTTGTAGTTTCCGTTTGCATTGTTGAACAACTGCTCTAGTGGAAACAGGTATTAAATATTGAAATATTAAATGATTAAGTTATCGGTAATCAGGAACGCCCTAAAGCTTACAATAAACTCAACAACTAGGGTCGCAGTGACATGTAATGGTGTATTACGTAGTCGCTGAATCGTAGGCAAACTCAGAAAAAGTTCCTAAGAACTGATAACATTATTGGATAAGTTGTATTCTACATTATTATACAGTAAAGTATTATTGGGTCATTCAAGTTCAAGGAGACTATGACACTACAGTAAGGTCACTGTCTAGGTCGCTGTGACTTGTAACTATTGAGTTACTAGACAATAACATCATGCAGCATCATGATCACCCCAAAATCAAATGAGGAAATTTAAGTTAATGTGCACTGCCGTGCAGTAGTCATTCTGACTGATGGTATAACTAATTTGCTAACTAGCTAAAATAGTGGAAAATTAAAGAACTGAAAAGGTTTGTTCATTAAAATCAAGGAAGATTCTGAGTCGACAGTGAGATTAGTAGCCTAGTCATTCTGACTTATGAGCTAATTGAATTGCAGCTCATAGGCTTGACACTGTAAACTCGTTAATACATCCTCAACCTTTAGATGAAAATTGAGTTTATTAAATCAGTCTCTATAAGTATAGTCAACTGTAATTAATGGTGGGTACAGATTAGGCTAGTACTCAGTTGACACTAACTAAAGTCCCTAAACCTACCTAAATAAATGGTTTAAATTTCTAACCTACCTAAGTAAGGGACTAAGCTGATTGTGAGCAAAAATGTACTCAAATTAACATTGGGAGCTGTATTGAGCTCGTAAACAGGTTGAGCTATATTGAGCTCATTAACAGTTAACAGAGAGCTATATTGAGCTCATTAACAGTTAACAGGGCAAGCTATATTGAGCTCGTGAACATGGTGAGCTATATTGAGCTCATTAACAGAGTTAACAGGTTGAGCTATATTGAGCTCGTTAACATGGGGAAATATATTAAGCATGTTAACAGGATGAGTTATATTGAACTCGTTAACAGGATGAGCTATATTGAGCTCGTTAACATGGGGAGCTATATTGAGCTCATTAACAGTTAACAGAGAGAGCTATATTGAGCTCGTTAACAGTTAACAGGGCGAGCTATATTGAGCTCGTGAACATAGTAAGCTATATTGAGCTCGTTACCAGGGTGAACTATATTGAGCTCGTTAACATGGGGAGCTATATTGAGCTCATTAAGCATGTCAACAGGGTGAGTTATATTGAACTCGTTAACAGAGTTAACAGGGTGAGCTATATTGAGCTCGAATTAACGAGGTGGAGTATTGTATCGTTCAATTATCATGGCGAGCAGTGCTCGTGGCATGGGGAACAATTAAAGCGTTCAATTGTCATGGCGAGCAATATTGAGCTCGTATTTGCA